TTTTATAAGTAAACTGTACCTCATATTATTAATAATTTATTGTGTTATTTAAAAAATACTAAATTTAATTTAAAAATCCAGGCAAATTTGCTTGAAAAACAGTTTAAGGAATAGAATATCAGTAAAATAATTTATGATGTAGATCAATCAATATGTTGAAAATCGATATGCATTTGATTGGTCGATCATGTAAGCTAATCACGTGGGGGTGAATTTTTTGGTGGGTGGTCGCTTTAGACGTCCCCCTAATTAGGCAATGATTTCGTACACATCCAAATTCGGCGAGGGTACATCCCGTGACGTAGCTTTCGTTTATTTTGGTAGATGCGTTGAATCGATTCATACAAGGCAAGATGAGAGACACGAGATCAATATTATCTGCGAAATTAAACATAAAGCCCAGTCAGATTAAAAAGTTACATGATGCCGGCTACAAATTTCTAGAAGACTTAAAAGAAGCATCTCCACTTACTTTGAGCAAAGGTATATCCTATACTCCTTTAACGCGTCTCGCGTTCTGGATCCGGTAATCTAATGCGTAATAAAATTACAAACCTACTAAGATATAGGGGTATCAGTACAAGAAGCCCTCAGTATAATTCGACAAATTAAAAGTACGTGTTTTTTAACGTTTGCATTAAAAATTACACACCGCGTTTTACTTTATGGATATACTGTTTTTGTGTTTAGATGATAAACTACCATCCGCAAGCCTTACTTCAATTGTCAGACGGGAGACATATACTATACCTACTTTTTGCGATGGTATTGATAAACTGCTCGGAGGGAAAGGTGTTGCATTAGGAAAAATAATAGAATTCTGTGGAATTCCCGGAATTGGCAAAACACAGATGGGGTAAATAATAAATGAAATGTTTGATTGTGCATTTGTTTGAATAGTCAATAATAACCTATTTTTCATGTTAAAGAATTCAACTTTCTATTAATGTTCAAATACCTCGAAGTTTATCTGGACCCGAGGGTGAAGCTGTATATATTGGTATACTGAATCACAATTATATACACAAATTTGTTTGGTTTGGATACTCATGTAGGTTTACCATTGTTATCATAAAGATACAGAAGGTAGTTTCATAATTCAACGAGTTGCTGAAATAGCAAATGGTACCACCACGAGACTTAACGAGACGGTCGAAGGTATGATCACACAATAATAGATTTAATATAGAATAATAACTTCAATGTATTATTTTACCAATAATAGGATCACCATTTAATCTCGAAACTATTCTCTCAAGAATTTATTACTTTAGAATTCATGACTATATACAATTAAACGCACTTATTAAAAATATGGATGAATTTTTAAACGAACATCAGGCGGTATTTGCGCAATTTTAATCAATTAAACCAATCAATAGCGATAATAATTCATCCACTAATGTTAAAAGGAATTCAGGTTAAACTTATTGTTATTGATTCAATTGCATTCCATTTTCGCACGGAATTGGAGTTATCAGTTCGGACACGAGTGCTTCAAATGGTAGCACAAAAGCTGGAAGATATTGCTGAATCATTTGAAATTGCAGTAAGTAAAATGCCATTATACGATTATTTTTTGTCGCGACTGAAGCTTGAAACCAGGGTCTTCGATTTAGAAATATAAACCCTACCAAAATCTATTTATACTTTTTATTATCAAAACTAACCCTAAACCTATTAAAAAAATGCATTTGATCTGATGTGTTTCCTTACAGATCGTTCTGATGAATCAAATGACCACAAAATTTGGCGGAAATAGCGGGCCAGACAATACGACATTAGCACCAGCATTAGGTATGTCATTTATGATGTTAGCAATTTCAACATTCAACAAATTTTTGGTGTTTATTATACGCAGGTGATGTCTTAAGTGAGGCGTGTTCGGATCGCGTATTACTTTTTTGCCGTGAAGAAGAAAGGTAATATACACTCGCGCCACAATTTTAATACAATATATAGATACTAATTAATTATCATTACTATTTAATGGTCAAACAGGTTTGCACATTTATTTAAGTCAGCAACGAAGCCTGAGTTGCAAGCCACATCTGTGCAATATCAAATTATTGTAAGTAAAAGTCCTTGAAGGGAATCATTATTAAATTTATTTTAATCCGAGATTTTGTATTTTTTTTTCAATTAGAAAGATGGAATTCGAGATTGTCCTTTACCAACTCGGAAACGTCGTTTAGATGAAGAGTGATTTAATGCCTTATATGATCATCGTCTGAGCGTAACTTAGTGATCCGAATCGGCAAAATTTTTCTAATCGACTAGTTGAACCAAATTTCCAAAATTAGTTGCGATTGGTTGTCATTATAGATGGTAAATTTTTTAGTTTCGGAACCTTGAAACCTGGTTTTTAAAACCAGGTATTGGAGCTCGTTTAGGTTAATATATACAATATATAACTATATAATATATATATATTTTAAATGTTAAGATGAGGTTTTACTTTTTAGCTTTATTAGTTATATTATGTTATTACATATATTGTATTTTCAAGTATGAGTATTACTGGTAGTCCATATTATAATTGAGGTTAATGTTTGCAGTTAGAGGTTTGCTTTTAACTGTTATTTAACTATTTATTCATATCTATTACTCAAATTTACCAGAGCAGTTTATACGATTTTTAAACTAATATGCAATGGTAATTAGCTTTATATCAGTTTTGGCAAGTTATTAGTTTTGAAATACTAATAACCTATTAGCTATTTAGTTATAAACAAATATGATTGGTTAAATTTATTTTTTATTGTTCGAAGGGTAGTGAGGACTTATATGTATATGTAAAAGTTATAAAATGTTAGTCATGTGACTATACTGTGATTGGTTGTTACGATTCACATGATTTTTTGTTCGACACGTGACTTAATTGTGATTGGCTGTTATGAATCACAAAGACCTTTGAATTTTTGCATTTTTTAGAATTTTTAAATAACAGTTAACCAATTAAAAACTACATTGTTAACACATAATATTAACAGATAGGCACTATAATTAACAAGTGTTGCTTGTATTTTATAGTTTAACTTACAATAACTAATTTACAAGTATAAAAACTTTATTAAAAAAGTTTTTTTTTATTTTTTTTTTTTAATATTAAGGTGATCTCTTTGGTTTTTTGATTTTTATTAATGATTTATTGGTAATGTGAGTCTATGAATCACTACATGAGAGAGTACAATTGGCTATATATATAATTTTTTATATTACCTATTTAAGAGTTTATTTGAAGTTTTTTATCAATTGTCATACCTAACATTCTTGCTTAGATGTTCTATTTTAAATCTTCCAAACCTATAATCTGTGTTAACTCATTAGGTTTTATTTAGATGCTCAGATTATTATTTCAACCTTAGAACTAATTTACTTTCGAAATAAACCTTTTAGAAACTTTGTATTTATTTTTATAGTTGATATTACTATAACAAAACTAATATTTGTAATTAGAATTATATTATTTAATTGCTGTATTCTTGTAGAGTTTATACAGATATTAGTATTTATTTCATAACATAACCTCAGTACTTTAATATATCCTTGACTTTTGTTTAGTCTTTTTATCAAACTTCTAATTCAGATAGTCTGTATAGAACTACAACCAGTTTATTAATATATTAGATTAATCTGATATCTTTTTTTTCTAATTCATTTCAGTAGTCTAATTAGTAGTATTTTTGAGATTTACAATCTGAAGATTCTTACCTGTCTAGTTATTATGACTAGGTACTATGATCTTGATATTTATTTTTTCAGGTTAGCTTTTACAATAAAGCTGTCAAAGATTTGGCTATCTCTATATTTAGATTTTTCTAAATAAATTACTTGTTACTCAATTTTAACAGATTTATATAATTATAATAACTTATCTAGTATTTGTACTGTTTGATTTGTCAGATTGCATTCCTCTGTATAATAAATTACACAGATGTCCTATAACTTAATAGTCATGCTGGTGTGATTATTATTACAAGTATTCTAATTTAATTATTAGTAACAGTTACTATAATATAAATATTATATAGATAATTATTTAAATTTTCACTATCAATAGAATTTAAACATTCAACTTACTACTTGTGAGATTGACAATCTGACTATTTCACTAGGTCACTATATCTTTTTTTTTTTATAACTTAAACAACATACTAGTACTTTATTAAAATTTTTAAAATTACTATTACAATTATATAGATGTACCTAACAACTAAGCTTAGCATTATCTGATTACTCTAATAATAACTAAGTGCAACTTGTTATATTATTTCAAACAAAAATAAGCTGCTTGTTTAACTACTTAAAGTTTATAATAAAAATGTTTTTCTTTTTTTATAACAAGCTCTAAAATTATCTTTTTGACTTCATCTTTGATTTGTTTTTCTTTTTTTTTTTTGTTTTCTGCTTTTTTTTTCTACTTTTTATTAACTAGTCTTTTCTTCTTACTTAAATTCTTTTTTTTCTTTTGATTTTTTTTTTCTTTTGCTAGTTATTCTTGTTCTTTTTTCTTATTTGTTAATTTTTTTGTATCATATTCTTTAAACTTGCTTGTAAAAGGTATTTTAGACTGTTTTTGCTAATATATTTACAAATCATTGTCTTATTCTTGTATCTAGAAGCTGTGTTAATCTGTCTTGAATTGTTTTTAGAATTAGACTCTTAATTAGTATTTTTTTTATTTTTATTTTTTTTGTTTTTATTTTTTCAAATAGCATTATATAGAGGATAGCGATCTTAGTGTAGTGGTTGGATTGTCATCCTCCAAGTGGCAAGTCTAAGGTTCAAATCCCATCTACGATGAAATTTGGAAATTATATCTGTAATACAGAAACTGTCTTCTGTCGATCGGTTGGCCTCATGCAGTTGTAACCCAGATACACCAAGTTGGGGTCTTACTAATATTAGGAGCTCAGAGCATCTATGTGAAATGTAACATTACATGGTACATGTACATAGAGGAATGTTAATAACCAGTGTTGCATAAGACTTCGGTGCAAACCCATAATAAAACCACCAAACGTAGAAGACTAAGGAACTGCAAAGACAGAATCCTACTTGAAAATTTCTGAGTAAAGAGGTAGCACAAACTTTTGATGATGCTGTCAGACTGATGGAAGCCTATAAAACACCTTCATAGGAACCAAAGATTAAAACCAGGTATCAAGATGTATAGAGGAGCACATGACCAACCAGGCTGCCAGATTTGCCAAAGAAAAAGGATACTAAGGTATACTATACCGGGCCATCTGGATTGGTAGTCTGAAATAAGACTGATGGTTCTGAGTTGTGGTTAGTAGAGGATGATGAAGAAGATGTCAAAAAGATAGATACTAGAGTTTGGATAAACTTTACAAGAGTAGAAATAGTATAACGTAGTGGTTTAAGGTAAGCCCTGACTGCAAGTGTTAGGTAACTATAGCATGTTACATAAAACTAGATTAGCTGTGTGTAGAACACGAAAGGCTCTAGTAATAATGCTTCTGAGGATACACTGCATAAAATAAGGTACAGAGTCCTAAGGATACGGGTAAGCATCTAGACCTTCTCGACTGACTTACGTAGTGGAGATAATCTAGTAATATAGTAAGAGTTGCAGTACAGAGGGTTTAAATAGGCAACACTCCTAATTGGGTTGCAGGTATGGCAGCTAGTATAGAACTATCAGCAGATTACTTAATTAGACACCAAAAGTGTATGTGTGACTAGTTGTACTCTTTAATGTAAGGTGACTCCTTTGAGGCCTTAGCCGTGAGTCCCTATATCCTAACTATACTGAATAAAAAGCCCCAGCTTCAAAAGAAGTTAGTTTAACAAAAAAATAAAAATAAATAGCATTATATATAATATATAAAGTGAAATTCTAGTTTTTTCTTTTTTTTAATTTTTTTTATATTGTTGTAATAGATACTTTTTGTATTTTCTTTTAAAGACTTGGTTGTTTCTTGCATGCTATCAAATGACTTTATGTTTCTTTGATTTTGTCTTAACATACTAGGCATTCTGCATTTATATATAAATTTGGTCTTTTTTTAAGTTTCTCTAATGTCAGAAGTTTGTTCAATATACATTTTATAAAAGTGCTTCTTCTTATACTACACCTTCTTGTTATACAGTATACTTTTTTGATTAATTTCAGTTTTTTTCAAAAATATGTTCAGTTATAAATCATTACTTCTGTTATCAGTTTTAGACTCTTGATTACTGTTGTTTCTCTCTACTCTGTACCTAGTTTGGCATTTGTTACTAGCTTATATAGAAGTCTTGTTGGCATAAGCATAAAAAAAACTTGTATCTAATAGATTCTGAAATCATAGTTACACAAGTTATTTATATAAGCAATTAAAAAATTGATATATAATAGTAGTCTAAAAACTGAAATTTTTACAATCTGTTTAATCACAAGTTTCACACTAAATATACTTTGATCAATTAATAAAATTTATTTCGTTAAGTATATTTTTAACAGAAAATCTTTTTCAATTATTTTAATCACTTTCTTTAAAAAGTTTTTATAAAAATAAAGATAGAACATTTGGTATTAGTAGAGTTTATTGAGTTTCTACTATGTTTAATTATTAAGCAAATGTGTATTAAATTTATAAATTGTTAAACTATGAGTATTATTAATATAAAATTTTATATATTTATTAAACAGACTAAGTAATATTAAACTTTTAACAAAATCTATTTTATTTGAATCAAGATATATATATATATTATTTATTAAATAGAAAAGAAAACTAAGATCTCTAATATAGTATATATGATAATATAGTTTAATCACAGTAATTTAAACTAAGAGTAGTAACATGTCAGATATAACAACATGTTTTTAATAAAATATAGTGATTAAAAAATAGAATAAAATAACTTTAGTATTGACAAAGTTTCACTTTCATTAATAATAAATTTATTTTGTTTTTATTTTACATATCGAAAGATTTTTTAATTAATTTGATTGGTCAATAATTATGCTTGGATCTATATAAATTAGCCAATTATATAAATGTTATAATCTGTAATTTTTCATAAAAATACAAGTTTCTTCTATGCTATTGGCATGTCTATTCATTTGTTTTTCTATTTTAAACAATACTTTATCTTTTTGCAACTAACTTTTTTTATATATATTATCTTTCTGCTTATTGTTCTTTTTTTTCACAAGGCTGTTAGTTTTATTATTTTATTTGTTTTTGCTAT